AGAATGCTTATAATTGTGTATGTTGTTACAGAATCTCCCGGGTATATGTCCTGTACCATCTGTTTCTACAGAAATCTAGTTATTACTGAAGAGAATACAAACAACTTAAATTAACTGTGGCAATTTTTTTAAATTAAAAATTTGATTCTCTATTCTTCTTCGCCTAAAATTGTGTCTTATACTAATATTTAATTTTATGAAGTTAATAATACAAGAAAAACAATGTAATGTCGAAAGAACAAATAGAACATTAAAAGAAAAAAAAAAGTATTTTTTTTTCAATTTGTATTTATTTTATGCTGTATAAAAATGTCAAATCCGTGGCAAGACCTTCCACCCCAGAGAAGCATGGTTAAATTATAGCTCTTAGATTTTTTCACTGTAACATTTGAATTGTCTAGCTTTGTCCATGGTGATACTGGATCATTCACTCTTTTTTTAGATGTATGCCAGAGGATGGAAGGAGGAGGTTATGCTTTCCTGTTCAGATTTGAATACTGGGCCTTCTTTGGTTATAGGCCCAGGAAGATTCACATGGACAAAATTTTGTGGGAGTTTCTTACTTACATGGACAAGGTAGCTGAACTGAAGTGTTTGAGGCTTGTAGACACCGTAACAGAAATACAGTATTAAGCAGAAATGAAATACCATTTTTCTTACTGGTAATGACACTTGCTGTCACCTTTTGGATTTAGCAGTAGAAGATCTGAGAGTTTTTTTCCTTTGGGATGAGAGACATGACAGTTGTTAATATTAATGCTTAGCTCATGGATATAGTGTCACTGACTACCAATAGGGAATTACATTTCAAGCCGAGTCCTTGAATATATCCTTAGGTTTTTAAGGTATTATTTCTGGATAACCTTGTCGTGTGATTGTGTAATTCTCCTTAGAACTGTGACTTCTTTGAAATAGTTTTCTCTTTCTGTTGGTAAGTACATGTAGAAAAAAGTGGATATGGAGGTGTTGCACTCCTCTAATGACTTCAGTGGCATTTCTAGGTGACCACTCGGACATTAGTTTATTGTGACAGTATTGGTGCTGAGGGAAAAAAGGAAAAAGAACAACCCACAAAGTAAAACAGAACTGTTCTCTTGCAAGGAAGCTTAATAACACAGGCTGTGTACGTTACACAGCACTTGGCCTTGTACCTCATCTGGACCCAGCGGAGCTCAGATTTCGTTATTATGTGTTTGTTTCTCTTCTGAGTTTATGAAATTACATGGAAGTTGTATTGCAGCCCAATAGCAGTATTATCACATCATGAAAGGAAGTTGTGTGCTGCAGAGTGTGTAGCACGAGGCTGTTTAGGGATGCTGGTAGAATAATGTTGAAGCACTGTGTAAAGTGGGAGGAGACAACCCTGGTGCACTCTTGTCCATACTGCATGCTGGGAAGGGTCCCTAGTGTATGTTATAACCCTGACTGTGGCTGGGTGTTACATGAGAGAGTCTTAGTTGGCGCAGACCAACAAAATACTGAGGAAAGTACTAAAATTTAGCACTGTGAACATTCAGTGTTCCACAGACCATACTCACTCCCGGCCTTGTTTTGTTTAACAACCTGCATCTGCAGGAGATAAAAGGGGAAAAATGTTAGAGTGGAGCTCTGCTAATAATCCATACCAAGTTGCATTTGAAGGAAGGGAAGCACTTATAAATTAGATTCTGAACAACTAGAAAGTCAGTGGAGTTTTTCATGCATATGGAGAATGATAAAGCTTTTTCCTGAATGTAGAAAGGCAGAAGCAGCAGTCATCACCTTATATATATACTGCGAACATTAACTTCTTTTTATGCAAAATATATATTCGTTTGAAATTCCCTACTAATCACAGATATGTGAGTTTATTTCTGTTCTTGGGCCTCATCTAGAGCTCAATCTGTGACTGCTTTGGCAGCTCACAGGCAGAGCAGCTGAAGGTCATTTCATATTCTGTGGTGGTTTCTGTCTTTGAACCACTGAAGATTTTATCTGTGTCCTCCAGCAGCATTAGGGAAGTTAGGACTGAGAGTCTAGCATAAAAAAATGGAGAGTGGCAAATGGACAAGATATTATTTTTTAAAAAAAAGCATGCAAAAGTTTTTTATGCAACATTATGTAGCAAAACCAGAAAACAGCTGCTTGCTTTACCCTCTGATTATACCAGTATCTTGTCTTGAAAAACCAAAAGACATGCAGGCAATCTACCTCTTTGTAATCTGTGTTCCAGAAGATTAATTGCCTGTTTTAGAAGTATTTTAAAATAGATCAAGATCGTTCATGTACTGCATTTAATTAAAAGTAGACCATACATGAACAAAGTGGTACAAATCTGTAAAATAAGACTTGGAACTTTTTGGTATATCTAGAATTAGACTGGCAGAGCCTAGTAAGACCTCCATGGGTGGGCATAGTGTGTAATTATGGCCTTAAAGCCACTGCTCAGTCTGCTTTAAGGGATAATTTTCTTTATACAATAAATGCAATCTGAATTTCAGTGATATCAAGATTGATTTCTTCAATCGACTCAATTATAACACAGAACACTTTGCTCCCTAGTCTAGTTGCAGAATAATGGAAATAATTTATTTCTTAACAATAAGATAATGAAAAAAATCAGCATTAATGAGAATACCACAGTATGTTTTTATAAGGTTTCACAAGCCTAGATTAAGCAGTATGGAGAAGAGCTAATAGTAGAGTTATTATAAAAGTGAAAGAAATATTTCTGCATGTCATATGCTGTAGGTATATAGGAGCCATTTCCACAATGCTGTATCAAAAGAAAATATGATTTACTGTATATCTTTTAATCACCTCTGTGTTGCAGTTCTTTTGCAGGTTATTGAAAACACTTCTTTTATTTTGGGTGTGTGTGTGTATGTAGTAAGTAACTTTGTAAGGAAAAGATTCTGTTTTATCATAGGTATTTTATAACCTCTATGGAAATATCATTTACACAATGTGATGATCTTACTCCATGTCAGATTTCTTCAGATTAAAGAATTACCTGTTCATCTCATTCTGATTTCAGTAAGGTTCTGTAAATGGAATGAATATAAATGGCATTATAAGTGGCTGGTGTCATGCCTCTAAAGAGGAAGCTGGCATGAATCTTGAGATTCAGTCATCAAACATATACCTTGACATGAACAAGCAGAAGAGGACTTCAAGGCATACTGCAAATAAGTAAATAAATAACAATCATATTTTGCACCTATTGCAAGCAAAAAGAACAAAACTTCATGAGTTTATAACAAACTCACCATGCTGGAGATTCCCAAGAAAAGTAGGGGGGGATGGAGAAGAAAAGCTAACAAACTTCAGTGCAGTGGAACCTGATGCTCGGTTCTTGGCTCAACAGCAAGGGTATCACTTCCCACCTTACATATATTTCTCATGTGAAACCTGTTACCAAATGTATTGCATGATGATATTATGCTGGTGTGGGGCTGTACTACCAGCTTTTCTCAGTGCTGCTCTCAGGTGAGATGCAAAAGAAAAATGTTGAGAGAAGTGAGTAAAAATGAATGTTTTAAAATTTGGCACAGAGCTTGATATAAGATGTAGCATGAAGACTAGTCACCTGGTAATCCTTTGTATCCAGTTTAAACAAAAATTTAACTCATTCATTCAAATCTGCACGGGGAAAGTAATCAGTCCTATGGGCTAAGATATGCCACACTAGCTGTAGTGTTGCACTAGATTTTCAAAATGTGCCACAGACTTCATTTTTCCACAGAGTACGATAAACCCATTTAATGCTGTAGCTACAGTGGTAAGGAAAAAGAAGATATTTTCTGTTTTGTTTGCAATAAGAAAAGAAACCCAGCAGACATATTTTTGCACTTATCACCCCTGTGGTGTTTGTTAAAAAACTCCAAACCCCCAACCCCTCAATTTGGAAACTGTGTGACTGTTAATCATGGAAAACAGTACGAGAGGAGAGCTCTTTTCTTCCAATCTCTTCCAGTTTCTATTCCAGTTTCTCTCTCTCCACCACTACTCATGTCTCTGATTTCTCACTGGCTCCAATTTTGTTTAGTTTATCTGTGGGCTCTTATTCAGGGGCCAAGACTTTTCAAGTAGTGGCAACAAAATGAAATTAAATTTTCCAGATATGAAAATAAGATATAACTATGTATTATTGTAGTATTTCTTCCCCTGCAGTCTCTTATGCCCCTTAATTTCTTGGAATTAAAGGGATATGGGTGGCAGCTTACTATCCTAATTAGTGACTATAGATGCTCTTGCAATGTGGCTGTAATAAGCATTAGTATTCACATTGCCTGTAATATATGCCAGATGGACCTGTAGGTAACATAATTGTGACAAAATCTTACATCACTACCTCCCCTTTGCTTACCTACCATTAACCTCTACCAGTTTAGAACATGTAATATCTGCTCGCTTTCACTCCCTTCCCCTTCCCTTCCTCCATCCTTCTTCCCTTCCCTTCTTCCTCCTGACCTCCCCACAGCATGAGTCTTTGCCTATTGTCCTTTCAGATGTTTTCTGAAAGCTCAGTTGATCTATAAAACCTGTCACAAACAGTAAAACATGAAAGTCTTGTTTTAACTTTTACTAAAGACCTTTTAACATTCTTCTGAGAATCAAAAGGATTTTATGTCATGGATGAATTCCACAACAGATATTCTCAGAATTCCAGGTATTCACATTTACAAATGTCCATATACTCCCAGCAGCATTACATGGTATTAAAACACTTGCAAACTGGGTGTAAAATGTTTGTCAAAGTTAATTTAGACTCTAAGAAAAGTACATGAGCTTAAATAATCTTATTTACGTAATGCTAATTACTTTTCCCTGCCTCCTCTTTTCCTTCTATTGGCCACAAATGTTTCCTGACAAATTTTAATTCTAGATTGTGCATTTTCACAGATTAAGACTGTCTAGTTTTAAGATACTCCATGGTTCTACTCGATGGGAAACAAACAGTCAATAACATTTTTCATTTTCTCCTTCATTAAAATGATATTTTGGTTTTGATTTTGTAGATAATACAGCCAGTATCCTGACAAGACGAAGGAGATACAGTCGAACTACTCAAGATATCTATTACCTCCCAGTTTTGATTTCTGATGGTGGAGTGCCCCCTCTCAGCAGCAGCAGTACTCTCACAATTAGGGTTTGTGTGTGCGAGAGAGACGGACGAGTGCGAACTTGCCATGCTGAAGCTTTCCTCTCCTCGGCTGGCTTGAGCACAGGAGCTTTAATCGCAATCCTGCTCTGTGTTGTCATTCTTCTTGGTAAGCCATCTTCACTATTGAGGAATGCCATCCTTCCACTGGCTCGCTGAATGTGACGGGGCAGAAATTTTTAATATGATGCTTTTGAACCAGAGGCTGCCTGGCAGTAGGAGGTAATTAGAAACATACAGCTGTGATTAGGGGTGAAAGGTTTAGCTAAAATTAATAGGGAAAAATGCCTTTAAAGTACATTAATGAATATCTGGGATCCACTAGAAATTATTTTTCAGACGTTATCAAGTAATTAGCACTGCAGATCTTTTTTCTGTAATTTGGAAAGATTTCAAAAAGCAACTGACTCTAATTCCATGTCTAGAACAGTGTGAAAAATGATAGAAAAGAGATGAGGAAAGCCTTTTGAAATGCATTGCACTGTACAAAAGCCATTTCTTAATTACCTTTGTGGGATAAGCTGATAGCAGTGCACAACACAATCCTCAGGGGCCAGGGACATATGAGACTGTAAGATGACTCCATTAGATAAATGCCATTGCAAGTGCATTTTCTCTTGCCTTTTTTTTTTTTGCCCAGGCGAAATTGAATGTTACCCATTAGTTAATATTCTTTCTCTTTTTTTTTTTTTTTTTTTTTCTGACAACTTGCTGGGTACATATCTCTGTACCACTCATGTGCCTTTCTGCATTCTTACAGAGGAGGCAAGAAATAATGGGAATGGCAGTGTGACCCGCATAGGAGATTTTGTGGATTTTTTTCCAAAGGCTCTATATTTTCTAAAAACTACTTTCCTCACAGCTTACTTCAGAACCTCCTTGTCAGAAAGCTGTTTTAAAACATGTACTAATACATTTAGTTTATAATCTTATATTTTATCGTACAAGATTGAATATTCGTAAGAGAAATATAACCTTTTACATTTTAATTCAATATATATGTTAAATACTGGTTTTGAGGAAGCACTGAAAGCCCTTAACAAGCTTCTGAAAAACGTCAGCCCTAGATACTCATTTCTCATTTAACTGAAAGAAAGTTAGCCCCTTTTATATCCTTTATGAGATCTCTAATAATCTAACTAGTGGATTTCATTCTTGGCTCAGGAAACCCCAGCAATCCCTGCAAACAAAATACACAGTGGAGAGTGTTCTTTACTGACCCTTTGGAAGACCAGGCTGTACTGGAAGTTTGTAGTTTCAGTACAGCATTATTAATTTTCCCCTTAATTGTGTGGTCTCAGCCTGCTGCTCTTTGGCATATTGTTATGTCAAAACACAGCCGTATGGGTTTCATGGGTGCTTTCCAGGCACACAGTAATCTATCTTCAGGTAACACGTCACACAACAAAAGCATTGCTCACTTAGGAGTACACTTTTCAGAATTGCACAGGTTTGGTGACCCTTTGTTACAGACACACACCTGACGTAATGATCCAAATACCAATATTAGCCTGAAAATGTTACACCTCTGTATTTGTGACTTAGTATCTGCAGTTTCTTTGGCATGTATCTGCTTACTTCAGATGTAAACTCTAATATCTGCAGTTTTCTCTTTAGCAATTGTCATCCTTTTCATCACCCTGAGACGCAGCAAGAAGGAACCCTTGATCATTTCAGAAGAAGATGTCCGGGAAAACGTTGTGACATACGATGATGAGGGCGGCGGAGAAGAAGACACAGAAGCATTTGACATCACAGCACTGCGGAATCCATCAGCTGCTGAGGAGCTGAAATACCGGAGGGATGTTCGTCCTGAAGTGAAGCCTGTGCCCAGGCATCATCCCTCCTCAAGCCTTGACAGTATAGATGTTCAGGAGTTCATTAAACAGAGACTGGCAGAGGCTGATCTGGACCCCAGCGTGCCCCCGTATGACTCGCTACAGACATATGCCTATGAGGGTCATAGATCAGAAGCTGGGTCTATCAGCTCTCTGGATTCAGCCACAACACACTCTGACCAGGATTATAATTACCTTGGAGACTGGGGACCCGAGTTCAAGAAGCTGGCTGAACTCTATGGGGAAATAGAATCAGAAAGAACAACTTAGCTGTAATTCCCAGAACAGAGAAGTTCCTAAACAACTGGAGATACAATGACAGCAACGGTAACAAAAAATGAATACAGTACTCGGAACTGAGCAAGTTGTATGCAGTTACTGTAGAACAAGTGCCCTTTTCATATTTGAAACTGGGTTCTCCAACTGGAAGTCAAATTTTGAAAAATATAGAAAAAAGAAGCTATTGTCCCTTGTGTATATTTTTTAATGGCTCAATAAAGTCTGTGGTACCGTATCTGTAACAATACCTAAAGTAAAGCCAAGCAATGACATTTTCATTGCAATATGCTTAACATCTCCAAGCTACAGTAACTTTATGGTCATGCCTGTTTGGGAAGATAGCTAACAGAGGAACAAGTCTCTTGCAGGTGGTTGTGATGGTGCATTTCTAGCTATGCTCTTGGCCTTGTGATCCCAACAGGAGGTAGCCATGGGGTTTAATACCAGTGAGAGAAGTGCTAACAGTCTGTTTCCTTTGCAGAAAGGATAAGCCACACCTGTCCTCTTGAACAAATGGTCCTTTGATGATTGAATCTTATTGAATTAGCAGGTTGCATTGAGATGATGTCATTTCATTGTGTCCTTCACCATCTTTTCATCCATAACCAGCTAACAGAGGGAGGACATCTCCAGCTGTTAGCTCAAACATGGCTCTAGCCCATGACCCCAGACCTGCTTTGTTACTGCGTGCTAGAGGAGCTGTTGTTCCCAGTGTTGTGCTTTTTCTGTTCGTCTTTTCACGGGAACATCATTCATTTAAAGGGAAGGGGTCCAAAGTACTCTTCATGCCGCAAAGCAGATGAAGCATAGGCTCTTTCAATAAAAACAACAATGGCAGCACCATTAAACTCCGCAGTGGTTTGGATCACTGTGCTTCCCTTATGTCGATAAGTGAAGCTTTTCAAGTCTTTTGCTGGTCTGAGTCCAGGAGCTACAACAGTTAGTTTAAAACACAGAGTTCTTAATCATTACATTTCCTATTTCCGTGTGTGACTGAAAGCAAAATAGAGCTGCTAGGAAGATACTGGGATAGCGAAAATTGAAACAGAGTAAGACGATGATGCTTTTTTTCTTTTTAGTTCAATCAACTGGTATTTAACATCTCTTAGAGTAAGTCCCACCTAAACAGAGCAAGCTTTTTCCTCTCTATTTCAAGCATCATGGGAACAGGAACATTTTAAGTCAGTGGAGCAAGAATAAATTAAAATGTACTGTTATTGCAGTTCCTATGGATTAAATAAATTGATTTCTTATGTTAGTCACACTTTAGCGTTGCAGAACTGCTAAACAGTTCTGCTTAACATTGCAGGCTGCTTAACACCTAATCCAGCAGATTCTTATGTTCCTTTGTTTTGTTTGAAACCTTAGCCTAACCTTTTGTTTGTCTTTCATGTGATAATACTATGAGAGGACCAGGAGCCCATAATATTCCATGAAAGATTATGACCTATGAGGCTCACCATCTGTTAGTCTTCTGCTTCTAAGAAAACTGTAGCCCCATTAGGGGAGGTGGACTCCTTGCAATATGTATTTGGTAGGGAAACTGTCCAGAGCAGCAGCTGTGTGCTGGTTTGTTACTCTCTGGGCTGGTGTGGAGGGTGATGCAGATCTGTACGCTCCACCAGACTCCTCCCTATGCATTTTAGGTGCTTAGCAGAGAAGGGTATGTCTTGCTGGCCTACTGTGGGCCACGCAGGTGAACCAGATTATTAAGCCTTCCCTTCTTTTCTGTGTGGTTGGGTAGGTCCTAGACATGACTGAAACCTCTGATCAGTTCTACTTTGAGGATTTTTTTAATTTTTTTTTTTTAATGAACTCCCTCCTGAGATGTAGCTGACCACTTTTGGTTTAATCAGCCTTCTGGAAAAGTTGGCAAGTAGCTTTGTAAGAAACTTTTCAAACTCTAGAATGCATTGGTTGCACTGTAGTTCCAGAATTGTTTTTTACTACACTGGTTTGTTGCAACTTGAAAATTGTAATGTTTCCCTTTCTGTCAACACCTGAGCCCACAAGGCAATTTAGAGGTGAAAAAACCCTAAACCCTAAAATGTTCTGATGATGATTTGAAAGTAGTTTAATAATGTGTTCAGATTTTTAATATTTTTTTTTCTTAATTTTTACCCGATACAGAATCTTCTAGAAATGCATTTAAGGAGACATTCTCATTGTAGAGTGAAGTTAAACAGATGCTTTAATGCAGTAAGAGTTATGCTTAAGCTGACAATGGTTTATGTAGAGTCTTTTTTGGGGGCAGAGTTAGGATATGTCTCAGTTTTGTCCCAAGTGAAGCAACTAGTAGTGCAGGATTTTATGAGGAGAAATTTTCTTTTGATTTAGATCACACTTGTTTTATGCTAACATCTAAATTTTTATGTTGTATAAGTAGAGTGCTAAGAAGAAAATCTTTCAGCATTAGTAGTACCATGGTCCATAATGCTCTGTACCACATCTGCATGAAAACTGCATTCATTGTTGCAGTATAGTTTTGAGAGCCAGGTATTAGTTATCTTTATGTCCGTTCCCTCTGGCCCTACACCAAAGGAGGGAAAAATCAATTGTATTTTGTGCTTTAAGCAGTGTTCCCACCTTTGTGTTCTTTTTATTTGCATCATAGAACATTCAGGCTTAAAGCCAACTGAAGTGCAGTGACACAAGCAAGTAATCACTCCTTATGCTCATGTTCTAATTAAGTTGATGAGAGAAGGTCGTATGTCAGAGAAATAAGAATCCCCTTTTCACCTTTCCTGGTGCTCTCTTTGCTGCTGTACAGCACGTGCATCATACCCACAGCCCCGGGAATTCTGAATCCTTTACAACTCTGCAGGGTTATTGAGACGCTGCTTCAGTGATGCTGTGGTGTGTCCTGTTTGGTATGTCCTATCCACAGTGATTGCCCAACGTGCTTTTCTACCATGATACGTCTGCATGCTTGCTATGCTGTTTTTTACTCAAATACACATCACAGTGCCGTGTCGTTTGCATGACAAATAGCAGAATATTAAATCTTCAGGGCTGCAGAAAAAGGCCTCACAGTGCAGAAAGAACAGGTTTACCAATTTCTTTTCCTAAGCCGACAAATTTTTCCTTTGGTCCTTTGTGTCCTACAAACAAATTTAAACTATATTTGAGAATTTCTATTGAAGATTGATTAAACTGGAAGAAAACTAAGACCATGTGCCATGGAGGGCACGATCATTTTGCAGCATTGCTGATTTTAAAGAAGTTTAGATTCAGTGAGAGTATCGTGGGAAACTTTCCTAGTTCATGGCTAAGTCTGATTGTATAGACTTTGCTTGAAGCTTTTATGGATCTTTTGTGTACTCGTATTATCAAACATTTTCCTATTAGCCTAAATATTAATCCTGTTGCCACTTCACAATTAAACGCTGAAAACTGCCAGTTTTACTTAAACTGAAAGATACCAGGTAAAGTTAAATGGCACATACAGAGTGGTGCTTAAGGGCTTTCTGATTTACAGGTTTATTTCCACAATAGCTGTTCCACTAATAGAATATTTACACCAAATTAATTAGTTGTATTCCTTCAAACAAACCCTCTGTTTTGTAATGGTGAGGGCACTTGGTATGCTGTAATCTTGACACGTCACCTGAGAAAATGGTCTGTATAAGTATTTTAAAATGTGAAAATATATTGTCAACCTAAAAACAGTCAAAAATGTAATTTAATATACCTTAAAGACAAGGAAGAGCTTGAATTCAACTGGCATTAGATTAAGATTCATACATTGAAAACAAATTAATTTGTGTATCAGTGTTACCACTTATTACATATACATAGAAGACTGTAATTTCACTCTGTTATGCACTTTATTTTTTGCATTCTTCTTAGAAAACCAAACTAATTGTACACATTTTTGGTTTTGAATTCTAACTGATGCCGTTGTTTTAAGTTGTGAATACTGCAAGAAAATGTCTATGTGAAAATATTTTCACTGGTACTTAAGAGTTACAAAATTTCAGTGGTCTAAGGCTTTGTAAAATCATCATTTAGAAAGTTTATGTATTGAACTAGTCTGGAATTAACCAAACTCATAGATCACACAAAGGGTAACAAAGGAAATATTCTAAATGCAGAGAAGAATATGAAATTATGCTGCCTAGGGTTGCTTTGTGGATTATAAATTGATAAGACCTTGTACTTGCAGTACGTATAAATGGCACAGTGCATTCTAAGGAAGATTAGGAGCGTGTTGCAAGTATTGGGCCATCCTTATTTTTCCAAAGTCTCCAAAAATATATATATTTTTTTTAACAAAAGAGTAATGTGAAGTATACCTCCTTATGCAAGTGTTACTGATAGAAATTGTTACATTTTCTTTTAATAAACAAAAGGGACAAAATCTTTTATTCGTATTTTTCAAATAAAATATGCTCTTTGCTATGGTGATGGGTTATTGTATTCCTCATCACAACTAGAACGGGTTATTTTCTCTTCGCTCCTGTATTTTATTCTCACCAAAGAAATATAACTATCTAAAGACACTCTGTCTTTAGGAACCAGATGTGATACAGCAGTGTTAATGAAGTCAGTGTCAGAAACGGTATGGTAACTTTAACTAGATTTTAATGCCTGGTATAGTCTCTCAGTTGTGTCACTATTTCAGAGACTGTCTTGCATGATTATTGCTACAGATGGGTTGGGAGACAGAGACACCGAGAGATGCTTTGCAACAGACTGCAGTATAACTGCTAAATGGTTCATTACTTTTACTTGTGGCAACTATTCCACTCCAACCATCACTGTCGTGAAACTGAAATACAGCGTTATTGGCTGAACACATTATCCGCATGAGTGAGTGAGGGAATTGCACTTCTATGAATCCAGATTGGTGGTAACAGCCGGGGCTATTATCCTAAGTTGACACAGAATAGAAGAGGAAAAACAGGCAAGGACATGCGCAGTGATCAAGCTCAGGCACATGCAATGCCAGTGCACAGGAATCACTCATTCTCTCACAAAGGAATTAACAG